CGGTCGTGTTCCCGGCGGTGACCCCACGACTTTCTTGTTTTCGGCACAGATACACAGACACACACACACACACAGACACACATGCTCGCGTCCAAGGACTACAGGTCCCTACGTGTGTGTGTGTATAGCCGACGGCTGCACGAAAACGTCGAGCCCGTCCAAATAATCTGCTTTATAATACGGTGCGGCAGTATATCCTCTCCCTCTCACCTTGCACCCCCGCCGCAGCTCCCCTTTTGGATCTAAGTCTATCCCCCGTTTTTAAGTCCGGCGGCGGCTGAGTCGGTATAGGTATAKATACTCGCCGCTTCACTCGTGTGTGCATTGAATATATACATATATACACGTCGTGTAATACGCATACACGTGCGGGCTGGGAGCGCTATTAATACGTGTCCTCTTGACGCGCTGCAGCTCACGACGAAATCCTTATATACATATATATATATATATATACGCATACACGTGTCTATATATATATATATAAATACATCGCGAGTGTTGTATATAGAGGTATAATGTATTATTATATGTACTGCGATAGCGTCACGCGTGTGAGTGTGTATATGGGGATTATATATACGCGAGTATACGTTAAGTCCGCTCCATCAGTCTGTGCGTGCGCGCGGTTCAACGGACTTCCGCGCTTAATACCTAATACACGCAATAACGTAGTAGTTGTTATGAAACCGGAAACGGAACGAATAGACTCCTGCGCATTATTACACTAAAGCCGAACTCGTCGAACTTACAGCTCTGCGTGCGCTTGTCCCCTCCTGCTCGCAAGTCCATCACGCACGAGCATCATGAATCGTACATGCACCTATACATGATTTTTTCGAAGCGGTTGACGAGTGACGACATTCTGATAAGTTTTTTTTTAATCCATACATAAGCGGACCAGTCGTTTGACCACCGTATCTCATCGCAACGCAAAATAATATAATATCTTAAACACCTTTTTCCAACCACTAAAATATGAGGAAAGTCAACAGTGCGTATTCGCCTTTTACCTATATATATTTGATATTTCCACACGATTTCCCATAAACGTATTTTAACGACTAATATATTTTCTATCTACGGTCTTCTCATAATGATTAATAGCAAAGTTGTTTACACGATAATAAATGGCACAATAACTGGATTTTACGTTTCTGTTCTTCAGTTAGGTAAAACATGTGTACATGTACTATAATATAATAGGAGCAAAATGCATACACTCTATATACCTATAATAACGAACTAGAAAATACCCTTCGATTTTGGATGTACGTATAATATTATTTAAGTATAATAAAACACAACAATGCGCAGTGTTACGCACGCTATATAGAGAAAAAGCGATTAATTAAAAACGCTCGTCGATCGTTTCCATTGGCCGTGCGGTGTGTACAACCGCCATCGACATTATTCCCCCTCGCGACCTCCGGTTCATATATATATATATATATATGTAGTAAGTATAATATACACACATACACACACACACATACATAACGTAACGACTTTGGCTGATCGGTCGACTGCAGTGGCCGTAAATGCGTCTTCACGGCGATTTCCTTCCCCCACATCAAAAACTCGTTAAGGTCTTTGTGCGCGCGCGAAAAGAAAGTCTCAATAAAAGTTTTTTTCGTTGAAAATTTCACGAGGTTAATCGATCCCTCCGCCAGCGCTGAAACCAGTACCTGCCTATATATATATATATATAAATAGTATATCCAAAAGGCTTTATTACTATGACCGAACCTAATCGTCCATCGTATATTATGAAATCTTTTATTATAAATAATATTAAACTAATGTGTATTGTGTATGTTAGTAATTAGTTCGTATATTTGTATGTGTCACACGCATTCCTCTGTCTAATGCGCGCTTATTTCAACGCGGTAGAAAAGGGTTAAAACGCGCGAAAAACGTTATTTGATTCGCTCGAACAATGCTACGGCTGGCGAAAAAACACTGACCGTTTGCTTCTAATATTAGGATACCACACGCCTGCGTACAATGATACGAATCGTCATAACACATAGTAAATAATCGAAATGTACATATTATGATATTATATATTTTATATCATACCCTGCACAGCCGTATAGCCTGTGGGGAATATCACACATAGTTTTATATAATAATTTATTACATWTTATAGTRGAAGTTTGCTGTTATGAACACTTCGCATGATTTTAATTAATTAGAAAAATTACGATTTACTACTGTTTGTTTGCATGTTTTGTATTGAATAATATTATTATCAGAGCTGTGAATTTAATGCACAAAGCAAGTGTTGAATGATCATAAAATATTTACGCTTGAAATATTGGCGGGTATTTTTTTTTTTTTTATGCAATTTAAAAACTTTTGATGAGTATAATCATTTTAATGACAGTTTAAATAKTGCTGTGTATAAGATTGTAAATAATAATTATTCAACAAATAGAACTATTTTAGAAAATAACACATAATTTTTGTCAACCTTGCAGCTGTTATAGGTGACTATTAAAATATGAAATATGTTTAATGTTTAATTATTATTCACATTCGTATGTCTAAAAGTAATTTCCAACAAATTATCATCGAATTTGATTCCTATTGTCACACAGTAGAAACAAAAATATGCAAATTTATCAAATTCACACCTCTACTTATTATCATTATTATTATTATAGCCATTGCATCCGCGTTATAATACAGTTGTGACAATTTTCCGTAATGGTGCTTACTCTTGTTGAAATAGGTTATTTTATATAAAGTCATAAGTGTAGATTTAACTTTTCATAAAAAAAAATATACACGTTTAATAGAATTGATAATATATTAGCTATTAGGTTTGTATAATATTATCATACATTTAGCAGGTATGCTGGTCTCTGAAATCCGTCAAAAATCGAAGGTAAAAATATTGCAATTTTGATGCTTTCGAATGTCCTTCATATTATGTGATTCTTTTTACAGCGTATTTTAATTATAAATGGATGTAGCACCCCCGTATATATATATAATTGATTTTCGTACATTTTGACGAACGTACAAAATACACGTCAGCAGTATACCATATAATGTGTGTAATATTAATGCGTCTAATGGCTTGTATAATATCATATCATATTCGCTTATCCGTATCCGCTGACTATTGCACTGATGATTTAATTATAATATTATATAATATTATGCACCTATATGCGATTTACTGGGTGACAGGTGCAGCAACTGAGTAATGTACGTTCGGGGGTGGTTAACCCTTATAACTATTACACATATAYATACCTATATAGATAACACTGACATGATAATTATTATAACACTATGTGCCGAGGGGGCTTTCCCCTGTGCACCACTGTCGAGGACAATCTCATTTACCTATATCATATACGTATTATTACTGTACACGTAGTCATATACATATAGATGATATTTCAATACATATAGTATATATATATATAAGAATTATTCTCGAGTCCGAGCGTCATCGGTCCGTCTGCTCTCAGACTTATCGTGGTTGTCATTGCAAACGTTATGTTTCAGAGCGGAAACGCGGCCGGCAGACGTATACCAGGTACCAGACACTGGAGCTAGAGAAGGAGTTCCACTTCAACCGGTACCTGACCCGTAGGCGGCGGATCGAGATAGCGCACGCGCTGTGCCTGACCGAACGGCAGATAAAGATTTGGTTCCAGAACCGGCGGATGAAGTGGAAAAAAGAGAACAAGACCAAGGGCGGCGACGGCCAGGGCGGCGACGGTAGTGATATCACGCCGCAGACTTCGCCGCAGTGATAAGGCCCGCGACTTCGCTAGGCATTATTTATTATTATTATTAATATAATTATTATTATTACTATTACTATTACTATTGTAATTATGATTATTACTGTTGTTGTACATGTACTAGCGAGCGCGCGCGTATGTGTGTGTGTGAAGTGAAATGGTCCATAATTTCGAGTATGAGTGGTGCGTGTTTGCAGAGTGTCGTCTTTTGAGCGCGCGCACCTCCGATTGTACATGTTTGTGTTAGCGTTTGAGTGTGAGTGGTGCGCGCGAGACGAGATGTTACTAATGCAGGAGGACGACAGTGAATTGTGACATTTTTCGCTTTTACTTAAAACAATTTTCGAAAYGATAATAATAATTTTATAAAATTTGGTCGCTCTGTGTAGCATAATATTGTTACTGCGATTACAAGGCAATTTAGATAGTAAACAATAATATTATATATTTTTTTTAATTATCTTCTTATTGCATATATTATATTGAAAATACAAAACAAAAGAACTCAAAAAATTTCGTTCTGGGTATATAGCATAATATTATCCGCATCAAACGTATTTTAAAATCATTTTTTCATTATTCGAAAAGAGGAAAACGTTTTTTTTTTTTTAAAATAAATTTTCATTTTATACCAACGGCAATACTATGTATAATGTATAAATACGTGTAAAATTTTCCCTCGCTGAGGAAACTTATTCTAAGATTGTGTCTAAGTCATTATGTCGTAAGTTTTTTTTAGTTCTCGTTTAAGTTTTACTTAGTTCTAATCAAACAAATAATAACGATAGCAATGATTACGTATCTTTTTAAATATCCAAAGAATAATGACATACCTTTATATGACGCGAGCTGGTCAACCGCTACGTAGTTTCGTTACTCGTGCCCATTCACATCAACAAACACACACAAATACATAAAAATGTATAGTAAATTATGTATACTTTATAAATTGATTATAATAAAAGTACACTAAGTAATATATATATCATTAGGTGTATCGTAATCATTTAAAGAATATATTTTTGTTACGAGCGAATTGTCGCGTGGTCGATGATAGCGCTCGGGATCTCAAAACCCGCTCAAATAACACATTCTCGATAACAATTAAAATGATAATGTATATCTAATACACTTAATGTCTTATCTTAACCCATACGTGTTGTACACGATATACATACATCTAGAGATTTTATGCTTCATATATTATAATATTAAACTATTTATTTATTTATTATAATATACATATTATGTGTGTTCGTGTTTGTGCGTGGGTATGCGTGTATGTGACTGTGATTAAGTCCGTTTATATTATATATTTCGGTTTTAAATTCCAGGACCAGTTGTTGTTTGTTTGTTTTATTTTTTATTCAACTTATAGTGCCATTAGGAATTAGACTGGCACTGTGATTTKCGTCCGATATGCACAGTGCGATGGTGGTGGTGGGATCTGATTTTCTTGCAATCACAGCGGTATCCGAACAGATAATAAAAGAATTGATAATATTAATATAATAATATTTCTCATGGGTGTGCCGTCAATCTTTTTTGACTGTCGATGGACTCTTTCGATATAATACGTCTCAATAAGATCACCTTTATACCTATATGCGTATAATATCATATAATGCCATATACTATACCTATATATATATATATATATATTATATATATGAGATATAGATAGGTACTTTTTGTCTTCACCTCGACCTTCGCTCACATAAATACCGTGCATAATCGCCGCCACCGCCACAGTAAATGTTTTTAAATAATTAAATATGCATATGTACTGAATAACGTGGAATGAGACACGGGGAATCGTGCGCACACGATCGGACGGAATTGCAGTGAAAACAACAATGATAATAAAATTAAATATTTATTATATTATTGTAACAATATAAAATGCTAATGTACCAAAGGTGGTATTTGCGTATACTTTTGTTTTTGTTTTTTATTTTATTTANTATATATATATATATAAATACATCGCGAGTGTTGTATATAGAGGTATAATGTATTATTATATGTACTGCGATAGCGTCACGCGTGTGAGTGTGTATATGGGGATTATATATACGCGAGTATACGTTAAGTCCGCTCCATCAGTCTGTGCGTGCGCGCGGTTCAACGGACTTCCGCGCTTAATACCTAATACACGCAATAACGTAGTAGTTGTTATGAAACCGGAAACGGAACGAATAGACTCCTGCGCATTATTACACTAAAGCCGAACTCGTCGAACTTACAGCTCTGCGTGCGCTTGTCCCCTCCTGCTCGCAAGTCCATCACGCACGAGCATCATGAATCGTACATGCACCTATACATGATTTTTTCGAAGCGGTTGACGAGTGACGACATTCTGATAAGTTTTTTTTTAATCCATACATAAGCGGACCAGTCGTTTGACCACCGTATCTCATCGCAACGCAAAATAATATAATATCTTAAACACCTTTTTCCAACCACTAAAATATGAGGAAAGTCAACAGTGCGTATTCGCCTTTTACCTATATATATTTGATATTTCCACACGATTTCCCATAAACGTATTTTAACGACTAATATATTTTCTATCTACGGTCTTCTCATAATGATTAATAGCAAAGTTGTTTACACGATAATAAATGGCACAATAACTGGATTTTACGTTTCTGTTCTTCAGTTAGGTAAAACATGTGTACATGTACTATAATATAATAGGAGCAAAATGCATACACTCTATATACCTATAATAACGAACTAGAAAATACCCTTCGATTTTGGATGTACGTATAATATTATTTAAGTATAATAAAACACAACAATGCGCAGTGTTACGCACGCTATATAGAGAAAAAGCGATTAATTAAAAACGCTCGTCGATCGTTTCCATTGGCCGTGCGGTGTGTACAACCGCCATCGACATTATTCCCCCTCGCGACCTCCGGTTCATATATATATATATATATATGTAGTAAGTATAATATACACACATACACACACACACATACATAACGTAACGACTTTGGCTGATCGGTCGACTGCAGTGGCCGTAAATGCGTCTTCACGGCGATTTCCTTCCCCCACATCAAAAACTCGTTAAGGTCTTTGTGCGCGCGCGAAAAGAAAGTCTCAATAAAAGTTTTTTTCGTTGAAAATTTCACGAGGTTAATCGATCCCTCCGCCAGCGCTGAAACCAGTACCTGCCTATATATATATATATATAAATAGTATATCCAAAAGGCTTTATTACTATGACCGAACCTAATCGTCCATCGTATATTATGAAATCTTTTATTATAAATAATATTAAACTAATGTGTATTGTGTATGTTAGTAATTAGTTCGTATATTTGTATGTGTCACACGCATTCCTCTGTCTAATGCGCGCTTATTTCAACGCGGTAGAAAAGGGTTAAAACGCGCGAAAAACGTTATTTGATTCGCTCGAACAATGCTACGGCTGGCGAAAAAACACTGACCGTTTGCTTCTAATATTAGGATACCACACGCCTGCGTACAATGATACGAATCGTCATAACACATAGTAAATAATCGAAATGTACATATTATGATATTATATATTTTATATCATACCCTGCACAGCCGTATAGCCTGTGGGGAATATCACACATAGTTTTATATAATAATTTATTACATWTTATAGTRGAAGTTTGCTGTTATGAACACTTCGCATGATTTTAATTAATTAGAAAAATTACGATTTACTACTGTTTGTTTGCATGTTTTGTATTGAATAATATTATTATCAGAGCTGTGAATTTAATGCACAAAGCAAGTGTTGAATGATCATAAAATATTTACGCTTGAAATATTGGCGGGTATTTTTTTTTTTTTTATGCAATTTAAAAACTTTTGATGAGTATAATCATTTTAATGACAGTTTAAATAKTGCTGTGTATAAGATTGTAAATAATAATTATTCAACAAATAGAACTATTTTAGAAAATAACACATAATTTTTGTCAACCTTGCAGCTGTTATAGGTGACTATTAAAATATGAAATATGTTTAATGTTTAATTATTATTCACATTCGTATGTCTAAAAGTAATTTCCAACAAATTATCATCGAATTTGATTCCTATTGTCACACAGTAGAAACAAAAATATGCAAATTTATCAAATTCACACCTCTACTTATTATCATTATTATTATTATTATAGCCATTGCATCCGCGTTATAATACAGTTGTGACAATTTTCCGTAATGGTGCTTACTATTGTTGAAATAGGTTATTTTATATAAAGTCATAAGTGTAGATTTAACTTTTCATAAAAAAAAAATATACWCGTTTAATAGAATTGATAATATATTAGCTATTAGGTTTGTATAATATTATCATACATTTAGCAGGTATGCTGGTCTCTGAAATCCGTCAAAAATCGAAGGTAAAAATATTGCAATTTTGATGCTTTCGAATGTCCTTCATATTATGTGATTCTTTTTACAGCGTATTTTAATTATAAATGGATGTAGCACCCCCGTATATATATATAATTGATTTTCGTACATTTTGACGAACGTACAAAATACACGTCAGCAGTATACCATATAATGTGTGTAATATTAATGCGTCTAATGGCTTGTATAATATCATATCATATTCGCTTATCCGTATCCGCTGACTATTGCACTGATGATTTAATTATAATATTATATAATATTATGCACCTATATGCGATTTACTGGGTGACAGGTGCAGCAACTGAGTAATGTACGTTCGGGGGTGGTTAACCCTTATAACTATTACACATATAYATACCTATATAGATAACACTGACATGATAATTATTATAACACTATGTGCCGAGGGGGCTTTCCCCTGTGCACCACTGTCGAGGACAATCTCATTTACCTATATCATATACGTATTATTACTGTACACGTAGTCATATACATATAGATGATATTTCAATACATATAGTATATATATATATAAGAATTATTCTCGAGTCCGAGCGTCATCGGTCCGTCTGCTCTCAGACTTATCGTGGTTGTCATTGCAAACGTTATGTTTCAGAGCGGAAACGCGGCCGGCAGACGTATACCAGGTACCAGACACTGGAGCTAGAGAAGGAGTTCCACTTCAACCGGTACCTGACCCGTAGGCGGCGGATCGAGATAGCGCACGCGCTGTGCCTGACCGAACGGCAGATAAAGATTTGGTTCCAGAACCGGCGGATGAAGTGGAAAAAAGAGAACAAGACCAAGGGCGGCGACGGCCAGGGCGGCGACGGTAGTGATATCACGCCGCAGACTTCGCCGCAGTGATAAGGCCCGCGACTTCGCTAGGCATTATTTATTATTATTATTAATATAATTATTATTATTACTATTACTATTACTATTGTAATTATGATTATTACTGTTGTTGTACATGTACTAGCGAGCGCGCGCGTATGTGTGTGTGTGAAGTGAAATGGTCCATAATTTCGAGTATGAGTGGTGCGTGTTTGCAGAGTGTCGTCTTTTGAGCGCGCGCACCTCCGATTGTACATGTTTGTGTTAGCGTTTGAGTGTGAGTGGTGCGCGCGAGACGAGATGTTACTAATGCAGGAGGACGACAGTGAATTGTGACATTTTTCGCTTTTACTTAAAACAATTTTCGAAAYGATAATAATAATTTTATAAAATTTGGTCGCTCTGTGTAGCATAATATTGTTACTGCGATTACAAGGCAATTTAGATAGTAAACAATAATATTATATATTTTTTTTAATTATCTTCTTATTGCATATATTATATTGAAAATACAAAACAAAAGAACTCAAAAAATTTCGTTCTGGGTATATAGCATAATATTATCCGCATCAAACGTATTTTAAAATCATTTTTTCATTATTCGAAAAGAGGAAAACGTTTTTTTTTTTTTAAAATAAATTTTCATTTTATACCAACGGCAATACTATGTATAATGTATAAATACGTGTAAAATTTTCCCTCGCTGAGGAAACTTATTCTAAGATTGTGTCTAAGTCATTATGTCGTAAGTTTTTTTTAGTTCTCGTTTAAGTTTTACTTAGTTCTAATCAAACAAATAATAACGATAGCAATGATTACGTATCTTTTTAAATATCCAAAGAATAATGACATACCTTTATATGACGCGAGCTGGTCAACCGCTACGTAGTTTCGTTACTCGTGCCCATTCACATCAACAAACACACACAAATACATAAAAATGTATAGTAAATTATGTATACTTTATAAATTGATTATAATAAAAGTACACTAAGTAATATATATATCATTAGGTGTATCGTAATCATTTAAAGAATATATTTTTGTTACGAGCGAATTGTCGCGTGGTCGATGATAGCGCTCGGGATCTCAAAACCCGCTCAAATAACACATTCTCGATAACAATTAAAATGATAATGTATATCTAATACACTTAATGTCTTATCTTAACCCATACGTGTTGTACACGATATACATACATCTAGAGATTTTATGCTTCATATATTATAATATTAAACTATTTATTTATTTATTATAATATACATATTATGTGTGTTCGTGTTTGTGCGTGGGTATGCGTGTATGTGACTGTGATTAAGTCCGTTTATATTATATATTTCGGTTTTAAATTCCAGGACCAGTTGTTGTTTGTTTGTTTTATTTTTTATTCAACTTATAGTGCCATTAGGAATTAGACTGGCACTGTGATTTKCGTCCGATATGCACAGTGCGATGGTGGTGGTGGGATCTGATTTTCTTGCAATCACAGCGGTATCCGAACAGATAATAAAAGAATTGATAATATTAATATAATAATATTTCTCATGGGTGTGCCGTCAATCTTTTTTGACTGTCGATGGACTCTTTCGATATAATACGTCTCAATAAGATCACCTTTATACCTATATGCGTATAATATCATATAATGCCATATACTATACCTATATATATATATATATATATTATATATATGAGATATAGATAGGTA